AATCTTGCCATTATTCTAAAATCTGGGCGCAAAAGTGATAAAGTTTTTCAAGGTTACTACTAATCTCCTAGATCTTTGTGGTCATTGTATTGCTTTAATATGTTAGCGTAATATATATATATATATATATATATATATATATATATATATATATATATATATATATATATATATATATATATATATATATATATATATATATATATTTATATATATATATATATATATATATATATATATATATATAAATGTATATATATATTCTGTATTACGCCAACGTATTTAATTATGTTAATAAAAAGTTTAAAAAATATTTTATAACAATAACGCGTAATATCAAACAAATCAAATTGATTCAAAGGGGTGGATTTTTCCATTTTTTTTAATATTACTTCTCATAGATGGTTCGGAGGATGAACGCTTTTGAACGTCATTAGCTTTTGAAATGTGGTGTTTTTTTACGTGCTCATTTATATCAATGCAAACATGTTTTGCGTACATTTCAAGTAGAGATTGAAAACACATAAGTAAATCGGCTTTTGAGTTTTGTTTAAGAACGCTGTCTCTAAGCTCCCGGATGATTTTACAAACACTATCTACTGACAGAACTTTTGAATAATTAAATATTTCTTGTTCAATAGGTTTTGGAATTAAAAAAACTTCTTTTGTTTCTTTCAACCAACTGTAATTTGGACGTCCAAACATCTCGTCTTTTATGCGTTTTTCTTCTTCAAGTCTATTTTCTAAGCTTTTTATCTGTTCTTCTAACTCATTGACTAGAGCATCATATATAGATTGACTCATTTATTTAATTTTTATTTTTATGGTTATATATTTAATAACACACTTTATTATACTTTCTTCCTTCGTAGTTTTAATGTGTAAAAACAGTAAATAATAACGTGTTGTCTATGAATGTTTTAAGCAAGGAGCTTTGCTATAACTGTGGTCGTTGAGTGCTGTTTTTTAAATAAAAAATTGATGCCGGTTATGAATGATTTGATCAAAGGTATCTTCTTTCTTTGTTTTAATTTTTCAAATTAAGTACTTTTTATAATTCGAATTACGTTTTTCTTGAAACTTATTTTTAAAAAAAATTTCTTAACCTCTTTTTTTAACCAATAATACTTAAAGAACGTTAAGATTATTAATCAAATGAAACAAATAAAGTAAAACTATTATTTTTTTTTGAGAAAAACTTCACAACAACGTTTCATAAAACATAAAAATCGATGTTTATATGCATTTTAAATAAGCATACTGTGATTTAAATTTTCTGTGGTTTAAAAACTAAATTATTCACGAGAATTTTTTTAAGATAAAAAGTTAGTTAATTAATTTTTTAACATCATAATGACAAGTTTTACAACCTGACAACCTCATAAGCTTTAGATTGGACCTGTGTAGTCATATTTGACAACCTAATTTATTTTGTTATTAAGTTGTTTGATCAAGATATTTTTTGTTTAATTAAACGCATATGTTTAAGTAAACCTTAAACCATTAAAACTGATAGACACGGCGTTAGCTATATAATGCTAATCTAAAAGTGAAGCTCAAAAAAGTTTTGCTCAGTGACGTCAGTTTGTGCCAAAAAAATCATTTTTAGGTCGAGATTGCTTTTGCATTTATCTTACATTTTTTAATTAATCTTAACTAGGGTGTATATAATTGCACAAAAAGAAGTAAAACTGGTAAAGATATATTATTTCACGGATAAGAGTTTTATTTATTACTATTTTATTATTACTGTTAATAAATAGTTTTAAAAAATTGACGTAGTAATTACTATATTTAGTCTTTATAAAAATATATCCCATAAAAATATATTCTATATACTTCTAATGAAAAGAAATTTTCTAAAAAGTTTAAATAAAACCTTATTACTAGTTTGTTTTTTCTAGTTTTTTGCCACAAAGTGACGCCACATTTTCTGAAAAATTTTGGCTTTAAAGATTTACGAAAACGCCGTGTCTATCAGTTTTATTGGTCTAAGAATTGAACACAGATAAAAATTAATAACTCATATTTTTAGAAAGTAACGATTAAGAATAAATATTATCCGAATTTTAATTTTTAAAATGGTGGCTTTTAGCTTTATAACATTTTTATTATAAACTGCATGTGCGTTTAGACAAAGACTCAACTAATGTCATACATGAGTTTGATAAACAGAAACATTTTCTATAACTTTATATCGTTAATTTGGGATATGCAAGGGTATTATTTTTTTATCCATTTTTGACAATGTTATTTTGATTATATTGACATTCGTTCGTAGTATACGCCATCATAGTTGTAAAGCATGAAGTGCAATGTAGCCCCCCTTGAGCTATCCTTGCCCCCTTTAAAATTCAATAGTCCTCTCAGAAATTTCATCTTATATAATAAATATTGATTTGATTTTCTATCTTTAAACAAAGAAAGAAATCTGATAAACTTTTTTTAATTTTTTATTTAGAAAATTGCATGTTTATAATTTTTTCCATAATGCAACCCGGCAAACTGTTTTATTTATTTTTAGGGTAATATGACTCATGTCTGCTATAATTTCAAAAATAAATTTAATTTCGAAATGAAAACGAAGACACGCACCAAAGTGGAACATCTATTATACCTTTTCGCACAACCATCTGTGTAATGTGGAACATCTATTATACCTTTTTGCACAACCATCTGTGTAATATGATCATACTGATCATCTCTGGTTTGGCTAGAAGACCTTACCACTAACACAGACATTGCCAAATGCAAAGTAGAAGCAATTTGCCAAATGCAAAGTGGAAGACTTTTTGTCTTCTTTTCAGGTTTTTGACACCTTTTAAAATTGGAATTTTTTTGAATTATCTTTACCATCCTAGAAGATTCAAGCAAGAATTTTAAATCTCAACTTTAGTAAAGCTCTATATCTATCATTCTAATCCTTAAACAAATTTTTAGACTTTTTAGTACGGATTTGCGTTTCAAAACATTTTGATGGACAAATCTTCCAGCTCCAGTCGGAATTTTTTAAAACTTATATTGTAATGTCGTAAAAAATTGTAAAGCTTAATCCAAACGACGAAATAAATAAATAAATAAATAAAATAAATAAATCTACAAGCAGTTTTACTTTACCAGTTTAGATGCAGTTTTGGTTGGCCTCGGCAACAGATTTGGATGAACTGAAACCACTCGTCATTTAAAAAGAGTAGAAGAGTTTCTAATTGGATCAAATAACACTGAATGCAGTATCGACTATAGTCGATACTGCAATAAAAAAGATGAAAAAGTTCCGATGAAGCTGTAGTCTTCGGTAATAAGGAAAACTGTCCTAGTAGAAGCTTTTAATATATATATTAAAAGTTTCTACAAGGACAATTTTCCTTATTACCGAAGACTACTGCTTCATCGGAACTTTTTCATTGATAAAGCTAAGAAGAAAAGTATAAAAAGAAGATTTTAGTCAGCTCTAGGTTTCAATTATTCTAAAGAACAAATTGGATTCAGAAGAATCTATTCGAAAATTGTCGGATATAATACCTCCTTGGTTTTATTAATATCATTCTGGTCTAGTCCGTGTCAACTTGTTCAGCAGAACGGTCATTTAGTAGTCTGCGTTGACTAAAGAAAACATTTATTTGATCAACCACGAGCTAGAAACGGCTGAACGCGATTTCTTTAATGAATACTCAAAAAGAAATTGTCCGGAATCATTAAATGGTTTCTTTGTTAAATATATATATTTTTTTGTTTTGTTTTTTTAAAAATATGTTAATTTTTATTGAAAAATTGTTATTTGCATATTTATTTTTACCAATTATATTCTTGATATAATAAACATTATGTAAAAAAAAATTAATAAAACATAAAAAAAATAAGAATTTTAAGCTTGAAATCAACTCCAATTTCAAAGTCATTCCTTTCGGCCCATGGTACTATTATTAGATATGATAATTGAAAAAATAAAACACGCTGTAATATGTTTTACTTGGAAACCAAGTAAAATTTTCCACTCCACTTTCATGATGCTAGTTAGATGCAAGATCAAATGTTGTGATAAAAAATTGTAATTAGTTTTCAGTTTCCCATGATTAATTATGTTTTACTTTGTGTATTTGTTTTATCAAATCACTAATAAAAAAAGATTTATTTTTTTTACTGAAAATTAACAAAAATGTAATTATTTTTTACATCTTTGTCAATATTACTGAATACTGGAGATCAAACCTTTATATTTGCCCCCCACCTCCTCCTAGAAAATTTGAGTACTTTACGCCAATATACAAACAATATAATACGGTATACAATGTTACAATGCTCAGTGAAAAATTGGTTTTGCTGCTTTGATAAAATTTTCAGCTGTTTTTGCTGTAGACTTAGATAGTAAATGGGTGGTTTCCGTTGCATTATTGTAAGTAAATCAGTTAATTATATCCTATTATCGATTTATTATATCGAATAACTATATATATATATATATATATATATATATATATATATATATATATATATATATATATATATATATATATATATATATATATATATACTTGGTATTTGAGTTTAGTAAACTCCAGGTACAAAAAAACTTTTATATGTTCGTATTTATGTTAAATCAGATTTTTTTAGCCGAAAATTGAAATCATTAGATTTTAATTTTCGGTTAAAAAAATCATAAAATGTTATTTTCAAAGTTCCATATTTTAAGAGCGTTTAAACAAATGAAATAAAAATTTATCAGGCAATCTAAAACGTTTTGCTTAAAAATTATGTTCATGTGAAATTACAATCAAATCATTTTAAATAGAATGTATACTATACATAACAAAAACTTTTGAACGCTAGATGATTTTGTTGAAATTTTTAAAAAACTAAACAAAATTTGGATTCTCTCCATAAGAGAGAATCCCTTCTCCCGCCTCTAACCCCAAAGTTTCTCTTGTAATACGGACTTTAAGGACAAGTTTTTTTTAATACAAAGAAACGTAAATATTTAAGATTGTTCTGAATAATATACAATAAAATATAATTATTGTATATTAACACGATTTTATTATCAATTGAATACCAGTTTTTTGAAAGTTTTGTCCTCCTTAAATAATAGGTTTTCATAAAATTTTGTTAAATATAAATAAGCAAATAAGTAAATGAGTAAACTATTACTACTAAGTACAGTGGCATATTTAATTGGATTGTTTTTTTTTTAAGATTGACGTCGTTTTAAAGGTAAAAAACAGATGGAATATTTCCAATTAAATGGCCTTTGCATTGCTATCAGCTAGACCGAATTCCCATCCTTTTCAAGAGAGGCATATATCTCTTAAAGAAGTTGTTAAAATCGGCAGGGCAGTTGCAAAAACTAAACCTTCATCAAACAATGCTGTATTTGATTGTAAAGTTTTATCTAGAAACCATGCCATTATGTGGTATGAAAATGGCAAGGTTGGCTTTATATTTTTAAAAATAGTTATACTCAATTAACGTTTTTTAAAATTTTTTTATAATACAAGATTCGATCCTAATGTTGTTTATGATCTTAATGATGTTTATGATTTGCATAGTTTTTACTTCAAGACACAAAGAGTAGTAATGGAACTTATGTCAACTCAGTTCGTTTAAGTCGTGGTTCTGAGGAAAGTGAACCTTATGAAATAAAATCTAATGATATTTTGCAATTTGGTGTTGAAGTAGTAGAAAACTCTAAGAATGGTTTGTTATTTTGATATATTTATTTTTAAGTTAAGGAAAATTAAATGTATATATATATATATATATATATATATATATATATATATATATATATATATATATATATATATATATATATATATATATATATATATATATATATATATATATATATATATATATATATATATATATATATATATATATATATATATATATATATATATATATATGTAATGCTTGTTTCATCGTTTTATTAATAGTTTCATAGTTTTATTAACTGTATAATTATTTCATAGTTTTATTAAATGTAATTTTAAAAGCACTGGTTAATAATATTAACTTATATTAATATTTAGATATTTACTTTATTAAAATATAAAAATTAGGACAAGCAGAAAATTTGGGACCTTTATTAAAAAATGAAAGAAATTTTGAAATAGACAATTAAAAATGTTGTTATATACTAAAATTTCTAGAATAATTTTGTAAGATAAACAACTTTTATTATGTATATTGTTTGCTAAAAACTTTATTGTTGGCATTTTAGTGCAGTAATCAGTTAATCTGTTTTAAATGACTGAGCATGTTATATAAATGCTTTAAATTTACCTGATAGATATTATATTAGGGTGGATTTTTTATCATACTTTTTATTTTTTACTTTAATCAGTATAAAATTAAAAGTTATATTTATATTATAAGTATGTTCTTTTTACATGAAAGCATATTTTTATCAAGTATATTCGATATATATGGTTACCAGTAAAAATGTTTGATATATATGTTACCAGTAAAAAGCTAAAAATTCTAAATATTTGTTTTCAAAGTTATAAATCGCTTAAAATGCTAAAAGTTGTTTCCATATTTAACATAGATGACAATTTTTAGGTTTTTAAATTGAAATGTATAGAAGGCAATGCCTACACTATTTATAATTAAAAATAGTTATAATTTATCTTCTTCAAAGTTCTGCTTGAACAATAGTTGATCAAAAGTAGCATTCGAGAAGAAAATTAAATGTTCCAATCAATTTTTATTATATTAAAAAGAATACATTGCTGAATAAAGTATATTTATGTTGTATATGATAATATATAAAACTTGGATCCATTGTTATACTCCAAACTAAAAGTCAATCGAGTACAAAACAGTTAAAAATGCTGTTAAAAGAAAAGAAAATAAGATTTTGCCTCAATATTTTTAAATGCCTTTTGTATTTATTTATTATTGAAAAAAAATCAATGTATCAATATATTTATATATTCTATATAGCTGTAAGAATTATTTTAAATAAAAATATAATAATAGTATAAATATAATAAATAAAGAATTGAAAAATAGTAGTTAAAATTTAAAAAAGTAAAAAAAAAAAAGTATATACTATATATATATATATATATATATATATATATATATATATATATATATATATATATATATATATATATATATATATATATATATATATATATATATATATATATATATATATATATATATATATGTATAATATTATATTAATATAATAAGTTGCATTTGTTTAATACTATCAAGTATGTTACTTAACAGTAGTCAACCTGAGTAAAATGGGTAGATGGGGTAAAATGGGTAGAGCAGTCTATTAAATTTGTTACAAATGCTCTATTAATGTATTGAAATAACTTTTAGTTTTTTATGACAGTGAAATAATTTTTATTAAAAAAATTGTAACTGGGAATTTTTGTTACTGCGCTGCTTCTTTACAAGGTGTACCACCATTTTGGTTTTGTTTTCCATGTGCTTTCACCAACAGGTAAAATTTTGTTGTAAAAAATGATGTATTTAACATACACAGTCACAAGTTGCAGATTTATAAGCAGGAGAAATTCCTCTTTTTAGTTAGTTTCACAGAAATGTGAAAAGCCAAATAGTTTTAAATATTAGTTGAAAAACCAGAATGGGGGAAAATGGGCTAATGCCACAGTCACAGTGATATCTAGCAGCATTAATTATTATCTAATATGAATTAAATGCAGAAACGAATATACATTAACTCATTTTTTCTGTTTTGTTGCAGGCCTTCAACAGTTGCTAATTTGATTTAAAATGTAGAGGAATTATATCCGCAAAACACAACCAGGTTATTCCATATCAAATCACCTAGTTTTTTAAAAGTTCCCCAGGGTTCCATCTCAGATTTGCTTTAAACTTTGACCACACACAGATCTTATGAAAAAAAATACAATCCAGAATATTTCAGCTTGATTGACCAATTTGTGATTGAATTAAAAATTACCAAAATCCAAAAAATTTGTGTATCAGAAGCTTACATCAGTTTATTTCAATTTTTGACAAGCCATAACTTTTTAAATAAAGATGGTGATCACCTGAAATTTTGTAGGGTAATAGTTTTTCATCCAAATAATCTATTATTGCAGTTGTTTTTGACTGATTTTTTTTACAGTTTTTGAGTTATTGTACCTTAAAGTTGCTAAATATTGCAACATTATAAATATTTTTTAGAACTTTAATGTGTTACAGTTTCATACTTACATACAGCAAGTGGATTTTTTTGTTACCTTTTTGTACTTAGGGTCACCACTTGTTAGAATAATCAAAATGATGCATTATAAATTAATTTAGCACATGCAGCAGCCTATTGAAAAATTCCTTTTTTTTTAAATTATAATAAATTACATTGAATTTGCTGGCATAGAAAGTAGCGTAAACAGTTGAAATAAATTATGAAACTTTTTAATGCTGAAGTTCTATATATAGACAATCACCAAAAAAAATTTAAAGACCTATACTCTATCTTATGACATACTATATTAGACTATGAGCTAGCCTTAGGTCATAGTCTAATAATAAGTCATAGGGATGACAGTAGTATATATATTTTTTTAATCTGTGAATGAATATATTCAGTTTTCTTTTTAATGACATAATGTCCTAATTTGTACTAAAAATAATGACATAATCAGTGTCATAATCAGTGTCTGATATTTGTTAGTTTCTTTGAAATTTGATATGTTTATGTCTTTTTTAAACTTTTTACATTAGTAACAAAAATAAAAACATAGTAAAAAATGACAGAGAAATGTTGTGTGGGGAAATTTTAAATGAAGATTGTGACAAAACGTATTATTGTAGAATGATTGGAAGAATAAAACTAAAAGATATTGTGAGCACAGATGCTGAAGTTTTAATTCAAAAAATTGGACACGCTTTTGAACTAAATGAGGAGGTATGTTTTCACCATGAAAAAGCCTATATTTCTAGATATGAAGCGCTTCAAAAATACTGCTGTGATCCGTTTAAAGTCCACAAGAAAAAATTATTAAGGGATTGTGTAAAGTTGATAGTTTAACAGCAAGTCAACTTAAGATCAAACCTGGTCAAAAAGCTTGCACTAACTGTTTGAATGAATTCAAACTTGAACAAATTACCTCAATTGATGATGAGGAGTTTAGTTCTTCAGACCTAAATAAGACAGTTTTAAATAAGTGTGCTTCTTTACTGGAAATATCACCTCTAAAAAATGTAAGTAAACGTGAAAAATTAGAATATGGAAAGCAAAAAGTTAAAAAACTGGAAACAAGTATGACAAACCTAGTAGCATCAGCATTAGATATAGACCCAAAAGAAATAATATCTGAAAAAAAGCAAAAGTGCATTAACTGTAATGATTTAGACAAACTTTTAGATGCAATAAAGGAAAAAGAAAAAATCAGTTTGAATGAAGAAAAAGTTCAATTACTAACATTAACTCCTGATAGTTAGTCAATTAAAAAAACTTGTAATGCATTTTCAGTTTTAGAACATCTTGTTAAGAAAGCCAGGAAGCTAAAAAATGAAAAGGGAATACTTGCTAAACCTGAGGCTAAAAAAGGACATGCTTTGGAGGATATTGTTAAGCAGAGAGTCATTAAAATATATGAATCTGACAAATACACTAGACAATGTCCAGGAAAAAAAGACTTTGTTTCTCTGCGTATAAATAATGTTTAAGTTCATAAACAAAAACGCTTAATATTAGTTTGTTTAAAAGAACTTCATCTGGAATTAAAGAAGTTATACCCTGAACACAAAGTTGGATTCAACAAGTTCTGTGAACTAAGGCCAAAGTGGTGCTTTACTGTTGATAGTAGTGGAAGCCACTCAGTTTGTGTATGTTCTTACCATCAAAATGCTAAGTTGATGTGTTCTGCTCTTCCTAACAGCCATTTGATATATTACAAAGATTTAATGAAAGTATGTGTTTGTAATATAGATAGTCGAAACTGCATGTTTTATCTATGTTCCAACTGCCCTGGTAAAATGAATTTGAAGACTTACTTGGAAAATATGTTTGAAAAGAATGATTTCGATTTTGATTATCAGATCACATATAAACAATGCGTGTCAACTGACCAAACTGCACTTATTACAGTCCAAACAAGCATTAGTGAATTTGTTGAAACTTTAAATGAAACTTTGTATGACCTTTGTCACCACCACTTTATCAAAGAAGCACAGTCTTCCTACTTATCAGAGGCAAAACAAACATTAGACCAATATACCTGCATTATTCTGATGGATTTTGCAGAAAACTATAGTTTTCTTGTACAAGATGCTATACAAGGGTTTTACTGGCAAGTTGATCAAGCTACCTTACACCCATTTATTATTTATTACAAAGATGAAAAAGATCACCTTAAATGCGAATGTTATTGTTTAATTTCTGACCATCTTTGTCATGACCAATCAGCAGTCCATTGTTTTCTCACAAAGTTGCTCCCTATGGTCAAAATCAAACTACCCACAGTGAATAAAGATAAATAATTTAGTGATAGTGCTGCGTCACAGTATAAAAACTACAAATGTCTAATAAACTTAATTTATCACATTGTAGATTACCAAATAAATGCTGAGCATCACTTCTTTGCTACATCACATGGAAAGAGAAGCAGCAAAAGCTAGTCTATGAGCAGCAATTACAAATTAGATTCTCACACCACAAGATCTGTTTACATGGGCTCAAAAAAACATCAAAGGTG